CGGAATTCCTCCTGTACAGCATATCACAACATATTAAAAAAAAAACGTCCGCCTGGACAGTTTATGCGGCGGTGCTACGCACAATTTGGCCAGAGACAGTTTACAATCAAATAGAAAATGCAACAAACATTCGACTATTTTCACACAACAATCAATCTGCGGCTTGGTCAAAGCCATTCTTGTACTCGTTGATCTTTAGTACGTGCACGAAGACGACGCTGTTAGACGACCAAAGACCGTCCAAACGAAAATACGATAAGCATTCATCTCTAACCATTGACTTCTTGAATGATTCGTCCCAGTTTTCAGAGGATGAGACATTTTAATGAAAGGAAGCCATTTGTTGTTGTTTGTTGTTGTTGTTGTTGTTGGTTGTTGGTTATTGTTTGTTGTTCGTTGTTGTTGGTTGCTGTTGTTATAGGTTGTTGCTGTTGGCTGTTGTTGGTGGTTGTTGGTGGTTGTTGGTGGTTTTTGTTGTTGTGTTTTATATTTTGATGCTAGTAATCCTGGAAAATACTTTCGCGGGCGACCCATCCTGGCACTTTTTTATTGACTTTATTTTGCAGAAAATAACAACGTCCCGCCATTTCGAAACGTTCAAAATCACTGAACAAAAGATGCGTGTGTAGCATAATGCCAAAGCTCGGTGTCGATTTATAGCCTACAGGCTGCTTGCCATTACTTTTCACGGCCGTTTTTTTATTTTTATTTGGTGATTATAAAGTATTTAGGAGTACTGAATAAATATTTTGTTTTTGTTGACTTTTCCTGTATGCATACAAGTATTAATCATTGAGCCATTTTTTATCACCGTACTTTGATGGAAGAAAGTTACTTAACGCGGTCATTATGTGCATGACGGCAGTTATGCAACTATTGAATACGACATGCACACGACGTGGGCCGATTACGTTACGCAATCAATTCTTCCTCCATCTGAGAAACTGCAACACAAGAGATTCTCAAGCAAAGCATCAATGCTCTAGAAGTGCTTACTGTGTGTGTCGGGTTCAATAATTTCTTCTAGGGCGACCCGCCGCCACCTTTGAAAGCTTATGTTCAACAAATAAAATTGCATCTACAGTTACATTCTACGCGTGCCTTGTTTTATATTTTTAGATGATGTAAACTGAGATATGACAAAACTGCCCGGAGAATGGCTCAGAGATTCAAGACCCTAACAATTCAAGCGACGAGGAGGCTCCCGTTACACAGTGTGATTTTTCGGCACAATTGGTCAATTTGTTCCAACTCGTAAAGCTCAATATAACTCTAGTCCCCGACAACTTAAGAACCGGAGGGCGAGGCGAGTCCCGCGAGCTTCTCATTACCGCTCATCAGCCAATCAGGTTGCAGCTTTAGCCCATAAGAACCCCAACGAACCAATCAAGGATCAAGAAACACGTGAACAGGCTATACCATACCCTGCGTTTCTTAAGCGCTCTGAGTGACCATAGACAGTATGCGGAGCGGAAGTTCGTCTGCTTCTTTTGCAGGAAAGGGGGGGGGGGGGGGGGGGTTCTGGTGATGTCAGAAAGCCGAGCTCTGATTGAATCTGATTGGAAAGGATAGTGGGAAGACCTCAAAGCAGCTTGCTTTGAGGTCCACCCACGATCCTTCAATCAGAGCCAATCATAGCTCGGAGTCTTTCTGACGTCACCACAACCCCCCTGCAAAAGAAGCAGACAAACTTGTGCTCCGCATACCGACTCATTTGAAAACGACGGTTGCCACAATTTTCATAACGAGCAATGGTATTTTTCAGGTGGAGGATGGGAAAGAGATCGAAAGGATGAGGGGGTTCGTCATCGTCGAGTATGTGACACACCAACGGTCGGCATCACAGGAAGAGAAAGTCAACTTTTAAAATTCGGACCTCAGAATCTTGATCTCCCTTGTTTTTGTTACGAATGATTGTGCATTCGTGCTATGTCACTATAGAGGCGGTACACGTTAAAAGGGATACTACCACAAACTGCAAGCACACTGGTGCTGATACGCCGTATCTTCACCCTTTACCTCAAGACGACGACTTGAAGCACACAAGACAGATAAGGTGTGTGTGTTGGGGGAAGGGGGGGGGGGGGTGTTGGGCGTGCTCAAGTGTGGTTCTTTCTCTTTCATCTTTGTCCTAAACTCACCGCTACATCACCGCTGAAGTTACCCGGTACAACGGACTATCTCCGGGAACGAAGCAGCGAGAAGGGGGTGACAAACGCAAGACGCTGCTGTACTAACGAGCGCGACAAGGAAGCGATCCAGACGCGCCAAACCGCTGGAACCAAGTCAAAAGAAAAAGAAAACGAAAGAATGGCAGTTCCAAGAAGGCCGCGGCTAGCGAGACCTTCGCCAGACGGAGGGGTCCCGGCGTACGCTGCTCCGGTGTCGAAGACCTCTCCTCCGAAACAACGCGACCCGCCGGGTACTTCCTTCCCCGAGCCCCGCAGTCATTCGCTCCACCCGCTCCACTTCCGGGCTGGCGTAGCCGAATTTAGGCACCATCCTCCCTCCTCTCGTACCCTCCGCGATGGCGACGACATTTAACTTCATTTTTTTTTTTTTTTTTTTTTTTTTGTCGGAGAGATGTGTTTAGAATAGCGGCAGTCATTCATCACAGCTGGAAACACCGAGGAACATTGTCGTAGCTTCTCCTCGAGTCACTTAAAACTCCATCTATCTCGATTAATACCACGTTTGCGGAAAGACTGTTTCGTTGGCATTTTCTGAAACTTCTTAAATCTATTGCAACCTCATTTACGAAAAAAAATTATAATTTCATTTACTGCCTAATACGCCTAGGCGCGTTGGCCATACTGGGGGAAACCATTTTCTGGCATTTACGAAGAAGTGAAGATTACACGAGCACAGCGCACAATGTGTATGAGCGAGAGGGATCGGTGGTCAGGTTGTCGAGTGGGTTAGCTCACTCCAACTTGGAGCACGTTGAGTAAAAGCTCGCGCTGCAGAGCCCAGAGATCCTGGGTTCAATGTTTCGATCTGGATGAGCATCGTACCGGCGTGCGATCGTGGATCATAAAGTCCCTCGATGTGTTTGCGTTTATCTTACAAGTAGCATCGAATGCGCCAGTCCACAAGGCCCGTGTCTCGAGCGACCCTTGGAAGCAAATGGCAGCGCAGCACTGAAATGAGCGGCCCTTGAAAGCGAATGACGGCGGAGCACCCCTCGTGGCTCGTGTCTTGCTCGTTCCCACAACAATGGTTGGCGGCGCTTGAAAGCGTGAATTTTATCGAGGAACTTTAAGGCCCGTTCACACATGCAGCGGAGCGCTACAAGCATAGCGCTAACCTCGCGCTAAGCGCGTGCTGACTGCAGCGTTCACCAGCTTTGTATCGCACCGTCATAACTGTTGCTCATGGCATACGATAAGTAGCTGATGGCACGTGAGGAGCGCTACATCAGCGCTTCGCTGCATGTGAGAACCGGCCTTTAGTGTATCACTACTGCGTGGTGCACGTTAAAGACCTCAGGTTGATGATTCTACTGCCCTGGCTAAATTGCTCATCTACAGCTGGGAGACAAGTCACCCGTTGAGGCAGACTAAGTTCTAGCTGTATAAACATACCCACAACCCAATCTTCTTTTTCCTTTTGTGCATAAGCGTACGAGTACTTAGAACTTTCACTTCACTGCCAAGAAAGGTTGTCCGCAAGTATAGCTAGTTTTGTGCTCTTGGAAGCCAATATTTATTTATTTATATATACTGCAGTCCCATTGGGGCTATTGCAGGGTGGGAACTGAACGAGGTAGAGGGCCGTAGAGCGACAAACTGGCAGCTAAAAGTGACCCCCAATTGGCCACTGCCATGTTGCACCTTTTTGACCACTAGATATGCGACCTTATAGTTTTACGTCTAGATTTTAACGAAGTACCGTGCACAAGTAATTTCTTCGATCCTTATGGACAGTACCGACGAGATAAGTTATATTTCGTTTGTTTTAAGTCCAAAATCTGCCTTTACGACAAAAACTACGGCGGCTTCGCCATGCCTCCGCTAGATGCCGTCAGCCGTGGTACTGTATTTTGGGTTTTTGTCGGAGCTAGACACTGATCTCTGGAGCTAGCAGTATCGAAAAAATAGTTTATCAGGTTTTGTACAGAGATGGCAATGCAGATCTCGCCTCAGTTTCGCGTAAAAGCCCCATGATTTGGTACGGTCGCGTGTCTAGTGGTCAAAATTGCACAACATGGCGGCAGCCAAGTGGGGGTCACTTTTGCCTGGTGAACGGGACACCAGTTTATCGCTCTAAACCCCTCCAAAAGGCACACAACATGAAGCAACATAAACGTCGACATCAACCGCTGTCAACGGCACACCAAAATTCATCAAGCGGTAGTGATCGGATATTTCCGGGTAATGCGTTCGAAATTTTAATTGTTCGGGTAAAGAAGCTGTATTTTAACATATCGGTACGCGCAAAAAAGAATGAAATATTTAATTCGTGGTCACTCCTTGTAAATGTCGCATTGGGAAAAAAAAAACGCCCGCAATGACATTTGCTTTTTTTTTTATAACGTAAAAAAAATAATCCGTGGTAATGAATGGCGTAGTAACGTCATATCACCCTTGGAATTTGGCAGCGGGGTTCTGCCCCATTCAAAGTGCACAACCCGGGTCGGCGTCGCATCCAGCTGTTTGAACTACTCAGAGCCCGTCCGCGCCAAGACCATTGGAATTTGGTGGAGTGAAATCCATTCCCACACTAAAGTATTTAATATAGCTGTTACCTTGAAGGCTTACCTGATACCGCAAGTGGGCTTGCACCATTTCGTTTCCTTTTTTTTTTCATGACTTTCCATACCACAAACACGAAAATAAAAACAAAACCAAAGTGGTGTTGACGTGCTCAAAATATTATATTTACGATAAACAAAAAGTCCTAGATAGTGGAAAAATTGAGCACTAATACCATCGAAATTCGCCGGAGAAAAACTCCGCTGGGAACACAACACACCAAGAAAAACTCTTCGCAGCAGGACTTCTTATAAACGGGTTTTTTTATTCAACGACCACGCGAAACCAACCAACAAGTCACCAGAAAAAAAAACCTATGTCCGCCTTGAAAGCCTAAACACAAACGGCGCACACTTATTTTGTGCAAGGTATAGTTTAACATTTCAACTCCTAGGAAAACAAGAACAAACAAAGTTCACGGCATCACAGTTATCCGATGTTTGTGTCGACGTTCGACAGCGATATCTTCCCCTCCAACTCCCCCTGTACACTGGCCCTTCAAAACGTGTTCCCGGTGACCGCCGAAAGGACCACGGCAAGCCTCAAGGGCAAATTTCTAGGCCTCAATCGAAGATGCATCGGCGACGGGTGGTGCATACCACAGCGAACAACCACCGCGCTTTTTGTGTTTGAAGAACGCAGACGGCGCGTGAGTAAATGACGCCTCGTGCCTACCACCGCAGCGTTCGGATCATCTAAACAGCGACGAGACATCGCTAAAATTGTCACATCGCTACGAGGCTTTCCGTACGTTTGACAAAGCTTCGGTACTGCTGTCACGCAGCTCAAGATACGTTATCAACAACACAGTTTGGCATGCCGCCTTGCAAGGCATGGCGAGAGCCAATCGCGATCCGATCCTCAATACCCTGTAACCAACGACGTACTGTAGAAACCGGTTATAACGAAGTCGGTTATAACGGAATAGCGGCTGCAGCGAAGCGATCAAGATTTCCCATTCCCTTTTGCACTATGTTATAACCGAACTCGGTTATAACAAAATATCGGATATATCGAAGTGATTTCTGATTCGCATCGGCTTCGTTATAACCGGTCTCGACAGTAGTTGATTTAGTAAACGTGGACTGCGCGTTCGTTGCTCTCTGGTATTTTCTCGGCGGTAACTCGCGGCCAGTCTTTTGGAAGCCTAGACCCCGGATTTGGCTATCTTTAACAACAAACTGTGATTGACCGTCATCGTGTCTTGCAAGGCAGACTATAAGAAAAGGCCCTTGTTTGGTATAACCTCACCTCTTGATGATGTTGATAACCAAGTCAAAAAAAAAAAAAAAGGTACAATTGTGACGACCGCGCTGAATACATCTCGACCGATTATCTAGTAGCCAGATAACACGGTAGCATTAGTGACACCTCCGTTGTGAAAACTCGAGGAAGCATATGGTTGACGCCATCGATTTATTAAACAGTGTCGCTTCTATATGATATATTTCTTGAGTGTCAATCGCAAGTATCGATCTTCAGAACAAATCGGACGGCAAGTTCGCAGGCAAGCTGCGGCGGTTCCGACTTGGCCTCAAAACCGATTCATGCGGTTGAGAGTAACCAGGGCCAGGCGAGCAGTCCGTTCGACTGTCTCTCAAGAGGTGTAAAGAAGCTCAACGATCCGGTGCAGCCATTGTGGGCACTAACACACACAACATTTCTTCTTTTTTTTTTCTTTGCGAGCACAAACACGAGGATTTGCGTGTAGCAGAAAGAGCAGCAAGAGCCAACCCATCACTATTGAATCTGCCATCATATGTCAGATTCGTCGATAACCTTTGGCACTCTAATTGTTTTGCGCTAGTGTTCCTCAATGTAGCCTCCGCACATATTCGAAGGGACATTAATGACCTGCCAAGTAACTTAGTTTCTTGAATGAGTGCAGGTGGACTACGCCAACTGGGAAACCACGATGGGACCACGGTGTCTGCATGCCGATGATGATGATGTCGACAACCCCTCTCGCTCCTTCGGTATCGCGCTGATTCACTTTCCACGTTGTCTCTCAAACGACCCCAGCAAACAGGCGTTCACGCCACACGGAGCTCACCGCAGGACGACACAAAGATATCACTCGTTTCGGAGAATTCAAGGTGTCCTTCACGTGCAGAGGTCGAGGAGTCGTTCCGTCTGGAAGCGACTGTGAGATACCGCTGACGATCCTGAAAGACCAAGAGCGTCTCATTCCTGCCCCACACACTGTGCAAAGTAACGAACAGCTGAAGAAATTACGGCTAAGTTAGCATCATACGCTGCTGACCGTAACTGCAGTCAATAGGAAGCCATCATCTCATCATCGTGGTTCGTCGATGACTCAGCTAGGTTACGATCAATCAGAAGACATATCTATAAGAATGCAGGAACAAGGCGATGGCTTGCTCCTACCTTACATTTCTTAAGTTCTTAATTAATATAGCTGGGCACGTGCTACGCGCAAGTCTCTTAACAGACTCTGTAGTATTGGCATTATGAAAAGGGAGCTTATGGAGCGAAGATACGCTGATAGTATGTTTACATAGAAAAGTGTAACCTGCTGTTACATCCTCCTTGATGGAACCATATTTTTTAATTCTCACGTCTCTGAAACTTTAAAAACAAATCAGTTTTCTAAAAAAAGAAAAAAAATAGCAGTCAGAAGCAAAGCTTTTAGAAAGCAAACTAAATTTTAAATATTGAAAACTCAGAGAGCGAGAGGTAAGTGATAGCTTTAATCAATATCGAAACACTGATCCACGCTGTAAATAAAAAATTTAGCCTGTGCAGTACCACCGTTAAACTACGGCTTTAACAAGCTCCGTTCCGCAGCAGGGATTACACGACCACATACCGGTACGATGTTAACTCCAGGTCAATACGCGCTGGGTTGGGGATCGAGCCCATTCCTTAAAAGCCTTAAAAGGGTAACGACGTTTACGCCAATATGCACATCCTTTTAGTTCTAAATACGCTACGTCTTTTAAGCAGTAAGGACACCGAACACCGAATCATCAAGCTAGAGGCGTGAACATTCTAAAGCCACGCCCTGTTTTTCTTAAACTGTCGGGGACTGATTGTTGCCCGCGTCTTTGTTTTCCCTTTTTTTAAGCGCCACCGATGTTGCTCGCCTTCGAGCCGAAAGTCAACGAAAAGATTGAAACGAATGGGGTGCATACACTATACTTCGTTTCACCTTATGTTGTACCGCTGCGAAGGCTAGAAGCGCGAGCTCATAGCGTTGGCAGCTGCCACTGGTGCACGAGAGCTTGTGCCGCCGAGATGTGCCCCAGAGCAAGAAGCTCGCGCTTGTAGCCTTTCCTGCGGTACAACATTAGGTGAAACAGAGTATAGACGAGTCAGAACGTTGAATCCCGCGTGGACAGCGTGCGAGCCTCACCCCTGCTCGTGGAGCTCAGACCCGCTCGCTGACCAGTTCGGCGGCGGGCGAGATGCGTGAGCCCGGCGAGTCCGTGCTGTCGAACTTGATGCACATGGCCTTGACCACGGGGCTCTGCGTCGAGTTGCTCTGGGTCGCGCTGCTGAAGAAGCCGCCGTGCTTGGGCTTCAGGTGCCGATTGTTCATCTCCATGTGCACGATCTTCATGAACTCGATCTGGGCTGCCAGCTTCTGCACTTCCTCCTGCGTAGCGTCAGCGGGATTGTAACAGGGACAAAGCGAGAAACATCCGTCATCGCCGCGTTGGCCGCAGAAATGTCGCAAGAATGCTCGGAAAGTATATAGAACGACGAGATTCCGATGCGAAAATACAGGAACTCTCCGGGACTTTATCAAGGACTCTAGTCCACGGAATGCTACACATGTTTAAAACCGCGGGCACGCTGCCAATGTGCCATAGAACAGACACTGCCAATGTACCATACAAAAGACAGACATGCAGACATTGTCTCAGGCGTGCTTCTTCCTTGTATAAGAAAGAAACTGTCACACAAAAATGCCTGCAGACTGCTGCTACAAGCGTGTCAGCATGACTCTGCGTCTTTTTGTACGATGTACGAGCAGTGCCACTCTGGCTTTATAGTTGAAATTTTATGCGGTGCGGTATATCTTCGGGTGTAAACTATACAATTAGCGTTTGTTTGATCGTTCATTATAACAAAAAAATAATGTGATGGATTTTGCGAATGACTGACGATGCCAATGATGATTTCCGCATAATACAAGCTTCTGTCTGCGCTAATAAGGTAGGCATGTTTTTAAGGTGAGCTGCGTAGAAAAGTATAGGTGAGCAAAATGCACCAGGTGCGCCTAAAAAACAAAAAAAAACATGGTGATTTTAGCCCATTCAAGTTGCGCTTAATGCAAGACGATTAACGCTGGATACATTGCAGCAGCGCCTGCAGATGTACCAATATTTGCCAGAAATTCTAATGATGTTTTTCCTTAGTTGTTTGAGCTGTTGATGTTTAGTGTTCAGAGTTGTGTGAGTATGGCATGCGGCCAAAAGAGGTCCCGCGATTCAATTCCATCAGAGCGGAGCACATTCTGTACGCGGGCAGCAGCGCCGCTTCGTACTTCGAGGCTAGTAGAGAAGCTAATGCTAACAAAAAGGAAAGGGTTAAGCATTACATCACAATCTGTAGAGGTATACGCAGCGCAAGTTGGTCTGCTCCTTGGGCACCTCGTGCCTTTGTTTACCCCCTAAACGCACCCACGTGCGTTTGTCTTCCCCCGACCTCGACCAATGACGGCGCGCGCTCGGCTGCCACGTCATTGGTTGGCGCCACGGCTGCCACGTTTTGATCGGCGCTTCCCTCCTTGCGTCCCCATGCCCGAAAAACGCCTTTCTTTTCTTTTCTTTTTTTTTTTAACACTAGCTCGCCGTATTGCTCAGCCGTAAATAAAAACACGACCTTCAATGTTTTGTTTTATATTTCTTGACTGCTCTGTTTAGTTTCGAATGCAATTCTCAAAGCGCCCAGTGTTCTTTGCCGCTGTAGCGCTGTTGCAAGCTCACGGATGGTACCAGGGTGTAAGATAGACAGGTGGTGAAACGAGAGCCAAATGAGCGACCGGATTGTGTCCCCCTCGGTTTTCTCTTTTTTTGTGGCGCCATCTATGTTGAGCACCGCGAACTCTCACTCCAGGTGGGCGAACGCTGGCGACCGGTTAAACTGATGGAGAAGGTTTCTCGTGTATTTTCAATGGAGGACTGTCGTGCTCTCAGTTTATTTTGCGCACTCTCCCATAGAGTTCCATGCAAATTCGATTCCAATTTTTTTTCTTCTCGCCGCAGCGCCATCTGTCGCAAATCGGGGGTACCCGCAAGTCACCCACAAGCAGACGAGTACACAATCCGGTCACGGCGCTGCGGTAGGTTTCTATGGGCCGTTTCCCCACCTGTCTATCTTACACCCTGGATGGTACCCACGGTGGTGGTGACACGTGTAGCATGAAGCGTGGGGCCGCTCTCGCGGTCGCTGGAAGACGCGAGCGGTTGCCACACTTGTGTACCTGTACTCCGGCTCACGTTAAGTCCGACCGGAGGCAATGCGACGATCCCATGGAACCAATCGAGCCAATCACACAAAAAAATGCATGATCACGACGTGTGCGTGATTGGTTGTGACGCTCGAAAAACGATTAGCGTCACAACAATATACTTTCGATGCTGTTTGATTGGTTCTATATCAAATCATGACGTCGGCATGCCGCCGGACTTAACGAGAAATGGAGTATTCGCAACTCCAGCGACCTATGGGGGGTCGCCACCCCCGAACAAATATGGCGGCCGAAAACAAGTCGTACCGTGCCATGTACCAACTCAACGCGCAACGTTCCGTTTGAAGCACAGGCAGGCGTTAGCTTTAAAATGGTCTGCTCCGATTTTTATCCGCGACGTAGTGCGTCGGCGTAAGCGCGAACTTCCAGAGGCCTGCCTTAGCTTTCTTCGTGGATGCCTAACGTCTGGTTCGTACGGATGCGTAGGTTGCGTTCAGAGCGAACTAGGCAACACACTGATACGACAGCAACGACAACGGACTCACCGGGACAACTGTTCGCCCTGCACTACATAAAAACCAATGCAAGACGCGCCTGTGTTAGCACTGCAGTGTTACCACGCGGGGACAGTTTTCCCTGCGGCCCTGTCGTCGTGGCAGTTTTCGTCACTATGTGCACCACCGACGCAACTTTCCTCGCTTTATTTTGACGGCCATGGCGTGAATAACCGACAGCATGCGTTTACGGGAGCCACAAGAGGCAAGCAGAAATCTCGAAAGAATCTGTTCTGGGGTTCTAAGCTGGATGCCGAGATTGGCCAACGCTGCACTTGACCTTGGCACCGATTAATCATAGCCGCCGAATTTTTCTCGCCGACGTTTTCGCCAAGTGTCCAGACTAGGGCCCCTGGTCAGCTCAGTCTGGTTTTTCCGCTAGGTTCCGTCCGTTTTACTCGAGTCGCGAATAGGTGCCGTTCGTTTTACTGGAGTCGCGAACACCCCACCATGGCGGAGGCAGACGCATCCTTCCGCCCTTTTTGGTGGCGTGTAGTATATTTCGTTCCGCCTTCAGATGAAACCACAATCGCGCGTAATCTCCGGTGAAAGTGTCTTTAGAAGGCCTCCAAAAACACATCCTGGTCTACCGATAGATGGCGCCGAACTTCCTAAACAGCCCATTACGTTTGGCATAAATGTACGGTGCGTGGACGAAGAAACTGAAACTCCAGATCATCTAAACACCCCCCCCCCCCCTTTTTTCTGTTTTTTTTTTTTTTTTTTAATGAAGCTTTGCGTTATAACAATAAATTGGAAGCTCGGCAATAGGAATTTCTGCACGGCGCACAATCGAAATCGATTCAGCGCAAAAGCGTCATTTCTGTAGGACCTTTTCAACCACGAAACATTCCAAATGAATAAACCCGCACATCCAGCTACGTTTCTTTTTTTTTTATTTTTACGGGGAGCTTAGAATTTTAATTAGGCAATGTTAAGAAGAACGCGAGGGCATCGTGCCTCAAATTTAATCTAGTCTTGGTCACTGTCATGCGTCCATAAGAAAGGCAGTAGAGCCGACAAAAATGCACCGCGCAAGCATTCGACGAGTGCACCCCCCCCCCCCCCCCTTTCCCCTTCGCCGCCCTCCTCGAACAGAACCGTATTATCGAAATGAGATACTCTCTTGAATATATAAACTACCGCGGTAGGAACGTCAAAAATACATACACACACGTAAAATTCGTGGCGCGCACTCGCACAGCGCTGCCCCCTTTCTCGTTTCATCCAATTCAAATTTCATTTTCCGCTCTTCGTGCCACCTTCCTCCGGCGAACGGACTTTTTATATATCGATTATCACTTGCTGTCACTTATACCACGCATAAATATAGTATATTTCAAGATAAAAATGCCAAACACAGCGTACATCCCCAGCATAAAAAAAAAAAAGAAGAAGTACTCTTTAAGGAGCTCATTTATTCAGAATGGGCATTAGATGATAACTCGGCGGATGCACAATCTCAAAGCGGAACGTAATGGCTGATTCTTAACCGGCAACTAGGTTAAATGTTTGAAGACTGTAGCAACGTGCATGGCGAATCCTTTTCCTGGCGTTGAAACATTGCGGGAAACCTGCTAGCGAGTGAAGGGCTCAGTCAACAAAAAGAATGCAAAAAAAAGAAATACGGTTTCTTGTTCCATCCATAACTCAATAAAACTATATAGTTTTATTTGGCAAACTAACCTAAGTCACTGCCAACTTAAAGAGCGCAGGGCGTCCGATTATTATGTTCACGTGTCTTGCTTCGTGATTGGTAGTTTGACCTTGTAGGATGCTCGGGACTTGCCACGCTTTGCGTTTCTTACGCTGGATTCGAACCCGCCACCTGGGGCAAGTTCTAAGGCCGGCGCTTGCAATCTAAAAAAGGCCTGCGCCTTCACTGTTCCGCGCAACAAAAAGGCAGCCAATCAGATATAAATGGTGCCAGCTGAACATGTACGAAAGTTACATGCAGCGAAAGAGAAGGAGAGAGTATGTAACCTTTCTTCATGTTCAGCTGGCACCATATAATAGCCATGGACCAACTATCTCAGCTTCAAGGCGTCGCAGCCAATCACGGTGAACGATAGAACTATCTTAGCGAATGACGAAGCTTATAATGTGATGATACTCGAAAAATGCGATGTGCACAGGGTCAGCGAGTGAGTGAAACATCCTGTTAATTGTCGCATTCTGAGCTTGTTCATAAGCTCGGATCTTTCTATTGTTCACTTTGAATGTTTGGCCCCGTGTTCTGTCGGAAAGAGAGTGCAGATTCAGGGCCTAAAACGAGTCGGCGCCTCACCTTGAGCTCCTCGTTCTCGGTGCCGAGGTCGACCGTCTCCTCGTGCATGAGCCCGACCCCGTTGAGCGAGAAGGACGCCGTCACACCCCTGGCCCGTGCCCGGTTGTCCCACATGTCGCCCTGTCCCTTGATCACCCTGTAGAACTGGGAAACAAAGGGGTTCGTGATCCTTGCCACCGAACCAACTGAACGTCGCGCGTAGCCCTCTGCACTGAGTTCAATGTCCTCCCGCGAGAACGGCAAAGCAAGCATCCGGATATGCCCGTTTCGAAAGTCACGTGCCGATTTTCAGAAAATCGGAACCGCTGCACAATGGATGAAGAACCGACACCGCGGAATGTGCAAATTTAAAACGACATAAGATGACGATGAAATGCAATTACGGTAGTAGCATTTGTATGTCGGGTTTGCACTCTTACCGCTCATTCACATTGGAAGCGGATCCGCGTTCGCAAAGCGGTTGCGAACGCGGTTGTTTAAAGATTCAGTACAATCGCACGCGCACTTGATGTCATCGGGGGCGCGTGCAATTGTACTGGATCTTTATACAACCGCGTTCGCAACCGCTTTTCGAACGCGGATCCGCTTCCAGTGTGAATGAGCGGTTTGGCTGCATTACCACTGGCGTTCGAACCGCAACCGCGAAGCGGACCTTCTCGCAAGTGCGCGTGAATTTGTATTGCATCTTTAAACAACCGCGCTCGCAACCCCTTTGCGGATGCGGTTGAGTCGCCAGTGTGAGCACAGCGTTTGCGGTGTCTTTTGCGTCCGCCATTGTGGAGGGATTTCACAGCGTCCAACAGAAGACTTTTAAAAGCCGTCTAGTGACTCTTGGGAGACCAGGCGCTTGCAACAAAAAAGTTCCGCATCGCTGTGGTGGTGTTTTAAAATTCCTTTCTTACACCCCCTTGCAAAGCGTCGTTTCACTACGTTTGACTACTTTGCGGGGGCTCACGTTAAGATACTACTGAGAGTAACTGCGACAATGCAACGGTGCCTGCCATGATACTAGTGAAACTTACCTCAGCCGACACAACTTTTACCTACGCAAACTTATATTACCCAGATATAGTTCTGGATGAAATTAGGCTATTGCCTCGAATATAATGCCTTTAAGCTGACCCTGAACAGTAAATACGCTCGGTGCCTGGTGATACTAGAATGTGTGAAACATATTACGGAAATTGCTTAGTTAGAATCACTTTTAAAAGACTGGTAGCTCTTCGCGGATGAGCCAGTTCTCTTTGTTTTGATCAGCTTTCAAGAAACAAACAGGCTCTTTTATAAACCTAGGACGGTAAGAGATTATATCCATTCAATATATTCAAGTTAGTAGTTGGAGAAACTGGCCTGAGCATGGACCTCACGCCACACACACGGTTCATAAAAGCACTGGGATACCTTTGGTCCGAAGATGAGGATGACCGTGACGGTAGTGCTCAGCTGCGTCCGGATGAAGCCGAACAGGTACTTGACGTCGGGGCTGGCGCTTGGCAGGATCACGAGACTGGGAAGGGACAGACCCTCGATTCAGTGGTGTCTGCACATGCAGCTTCGTGGATGGAGCTAAGGTACTTACTGGATCAACATCATGATGAGATTGACTATGGTAATGTTGTAGATTGCCCAGCTGATGTGCTTCGCCTCGTTGAAGAAGGACTCCGCGTTGCGCACATTGTAACAGACCCTGATGCCCCACAACAGGAACAAGAACTCCCCTGCAAAACACGAGGAGGAACGGTCCACTACAACAGAGCGATCGTTAACCAGTTCTGAACAGAAGACCAATAGTATTAGTGGATGAGCCGAGTATTACTACTAAGTGATTGGACAAAGAGGTTGAAAAAAACAGGACAGTATATGGCCACCCCCACCAAATTGGGGTCTTTCAGCTGCTCAAAAGTGTTCGATGTAATAACGTTTAAAAGCTATTTTTAAAGCGCAGCTCTTACGCGCCCGTTTCGAGCTTGAGCGGCGTCGGCGTTGGCGTCGCCGCCAGCGTAACCGCGCGTTGCATTATGGGTAAATTGTCCCGAAGAAACCCGAGGTTCTCGCGCAGGACCTCGGGTTCCTCCGGGAGGACCTCGGGTTCCTTCGGGAGGACCTCGGGAGAACCTCGGGTTCCTTCGGGAGGACTTCAGGTTCCTTCGGGAGGACCTCGGAAGGACCTCGGGTTCCTTCGGGAGGACTTCGGGAGAACCTCGGGTTCCTTCGAGAGGACTTTGGGTTCCTTCGGGAGGACTTCGCGAGAACCTCGGGTTCCTTCGGGAGGACCTCGAAAGGACCTCGGGTTCCTTCGGGAGGACTTCGGGTACCTTCGGTAACCTCGGAGAGGGGGAGGTCACGTGACCCCCCCCCCCCCTGAGGTCACGTGACCCCCCCCCCCCCCCCCGAGAACACGTGACCCTCAGTACCCTTCCCTCCTCCTCCTCAAGAGCTGCGCTCTAATTCGGCGCTACAGGGAGTTGTAAACGGCTTTTATTTTTTTTATCATCACAAGCTTTTAGTCTCTTAACTCACAGCAAATGCACGAAGCGCCTTCCGCCATCCTGCTTGTTAAATGATCAAAACATGTCACAAAAACCAAAGCGTGCCAGTCTCCTGGATCTAACACACGCTCACCCTCATTTCTAAACTTCGCCTGGCACTCGGAACGCCCGTAAAGCTCTACAAAATAACATTGCAGCGCCCTCGAGCCACTGTAATATAATTAGAAGTTACGTCGTGTAAACTAATGGCCGCCGGTGCCTTAATAAACTAAGGAACAATGAAAAAAAAATCACAATACATTGAACGCAGCTCTCTATAGACCTTTTCAATAATCGCCTTCTGTGGGCTGCCAATCTTTAACTTCTGGATCGTGGAAGACGTTCTGAGCGTGCGCAGTGCCTCTCTAACACGAAGTATGAGACGCGGCGCATGCGTCCAAAGCGCAGTGACCCCGCGTTTTTCGCCTGGATGATAAGCGCTAGAAAGGTCTATGCGGAGAGCAAGTCGTCTGCTTCTTGCGTAGAATTTGCAGTGACGTCAGAGCGACGCCGAGCTCTGATTGGCTCTGGTTAAAAGGACAGTGGGGTAGCCCTCAACGCTAGATGCCTTAAAGTCTACCGACAATTCTTTTTTTTAATGAGCCCAAAGAGATCTTGATGTTCTTACATCATCGCAACCCCTGTGCAAGAAGCAAACGAAATTGCGTTACGCGTAGGCTTTATAAGCGCTCTATGGCCACTGACAGCATAAAAAATTCGGGGCGGGGCCTATTACGATCGCGCTTGCTTCGTGATTTGTTCTTCCGCGCATTTATCGGGTGATGCCGATATCTCATTGGCTGCCAAGTGATAACGATGTGCATAAAATTCACCATGCTCTCGCGTTTCTTAAGCTGTCAGTTACCATAGTGACTTTTCAAAAGTATGCAGACGTCGGGAACGTGCTCACCAATGGCCATGGTGTGATCCCACCAGTTGTACTCGCACTGCTTGAACTTGAGTCCGTGCCAGTCCTCGAGGTAGATCCCTTCGGGAGGAGACGAGATGGTCCAGGTGCCCAAGTAGATGGCCATCTCGAGCAGGATCGGGAACAGCCACTGGAGCAGCTGCTTGTCCGTCAGCTTGAGCTTGTGCGCCGACTTGACCCGATACGTCAAGGAGACTCTGCAGCGGGGGGAAGCAGAGTCAGACTACGCTTAAGCCGCAGTCACGCCGCACCTATGCAAAAGACACGATGTTGGCCGCAGACACGATGACAGATTTGTCTGCAGGTAAACCTCACGAATTTTCGAAGAATTTTTTCTTTGTATATATGTATGCCTCAAACATGTCTGGAGAGATTCATTGTATGACCAACGTAACAGGAGCGTCATCCAATGCTCAGCGCAAGTTCGTCTGCTTCTTGCACAGGGGTTGCGATGAAGTCAGAACGTCGGGCTCTTATTGGCCGATTGAAAAAGATAGTGGGTAGACCTCAAGGCATCTAGCATTGATGTAGCCAATCAGAGCTCGGCGTCATTCTGACGTCACCACAATTTCTGCGCAAGAAGCAGACGACTTGCGCCTCCACAGAAGAAAGAAACACGCGTCGGACATTGCCTTCAGACTGTCTTCTGTGTCATGTACGAGCAGTATGACCGCGGCCTTAATATGAGGATCCCAGGGTCCATGGGGTGCACTTGTGCGCGACGCACCTCCAGGTCTTGAGCAGCAGAGTGCTGTACGTGATGCAGAACCCCATGTGGCGCGTCCACTTTGTGGCCACACAGCAGTACACGTCCAGCACGGGAAAGATTGCCGCCATCTGCGCAGAGAGTCAAGGGCCGATATATGCCGTGAACGTGATACTTAGGGACATCCGCTTCCATTACTAGCAATTTTTTTGTGAAGAATTTGCATATTTTGAGGAAAAAAGGACGAGGTAAGTAAAACGGTCGCTCATGTTTTGCGCATTCAGAACACAATGTGAATGGTTCAACACATGAAGGCAGACAGATAGAAGGTCGGGAAGCTGGTAATGAGTGGAGTCGGCGTCCAATGCCAAAACAATTGAGGAATGGAGATTTAGGCTGATTCATTGCTTTTCACGATCGCCTTCGTCAGTGATCACGTAAACTTCATTGCGGAGTTCAATTCGCGCAAATAATTGACACCAGCCTTTAATAAAATGGTCTAAAGTACTGTGAAACCCTACTTGCGTAGCGCAGTCCGCTTCAAATGCACTTTTTTTTTTTTTTTTGCGTCTCGGTTGGACGTTTTGGTTGCTTTCTAACATTTTTGACTACCCTTCAAACGGCAAATAAAAAAGAAAAAAAGACCTGACAGGGAAGTTGGATGCGGAAACCTTTTAAAAATGCAGTATGTCATTTCGTTTCGTAACCAACAATTATTTTATCCTGCTCTTGATTTCGTTAGTGAGGGTCCCACATGTCTGAAAGGGATAAATAGAAATGCAGTGCTATTTCAGAGCACTGCGCAGCTTAGTTCAAGACTGACAATCTGGTTCAACCTGGAAATCCTGTTTGTGCTAATGTCCTTTTTTTTTTTGCCACAGCCAAAGTGCCCACATGTTTTGATCGTTTTCATGGCACTCAGAGAGTGACAAGAATGTGAACATAATACCACAAAATAAATGTTGTTACAAAAAAAAAAAAAAACTCGCGCCGTTAAAATTAGCAGTTAACAGTCCAAATCAACTCGGAAGGCAAATGTCACTAGTGAAAAATTAGAATTCCATCCCCTCCTTTTATTAAAAGAAATTTGTAAATTAAAACTCCGTAATAAATTTGGCCTTGCCCTTGCAAATTCTCTTCGTTATCAACCTGTACTTCGGAGTCCATGAATAACCGACAAAATCAACAAAACAAGTCGCTCTTTTTGATAAACAAAGTTACATTGATGAAAAAACAAGCTCATCTGACTTGACAATTCACTGATTGAATTGAACCGGGTCGTCGGCTATCACTGACCACAACATTTTTGCCTCAGCCACCGGTCTGCGCGAAAATCAGATGTGGCGCTATTTTAATTTTCTTTTAAATTTGCGTCTGACAAGATGTCTCAGCTTGTATTCAGGCGTCGAAAACAATCTATGAAATCCAAATTCCTCCTTCTTGGTGGAAGGCTACATTTCAATTTGATTAAACGAAACACATGTGACGCTTCACTATAAGTTTGTAGTGTCTGGCAATAATAAATGGGCTGCTAAACCCAACTTGTAACCCCCCCCCCCCCCCCCCCCCCAATCCCACACACACACACACAAAAAAAGAAAAATTAGTATATTTTATTCTAATCAGCAAGTCAGCTTCTCTGAGAATAAATTGGATTGTTCCATTTACGGTTTCTTTTCTCTAGGCAATTTTGACAGATTGGGGGACCGGTGAGAATTGGCCCAGGTCACAGCCCGAAACACGAGCTCGTTTTGGACGTGGGACGGTTAGCTGTGACAATGACGGTACATATCCTTCTCGAGAAAAACGGGTGTGGCATGTGTTTGCGGGAGCTCACCTCGCAGTACATGATAGCGCAGCCCACCAGGGTGATGCAGAGGAAGATGGGACTGGCCACCTTGATGACCTTCAGCTTGCGGAATCGATACACGTAGCCGGCCAGGACCATGGTGAGCACGATGCACATCACCGAGATGGTCAGCAGCGAGATTCTGGGACAGGGATCGTTCGAGCATTCGAGCACGGCCTGGTGCTTTTTGCGAACTCTGGAAATCGCTATCATTTAAAAAGATTGTCGCTTCCTTGTGTCCTGCAAGTGGACTGAGGCAACAGCGGAGGCGCTGCCAGCTCTGCTGCTTACAGACTACACGACTCATTCTCCGCCACCATTCAAAATTTGGTAAAAGTGCAAAGATTACGTTATCACGTGACATCACAATTCCCCCCGCTAAATCTAGAGAAAAAAAGTTCGCTAAATTTGAGGGGAAACTCTTCACGTCACGTCAGTGTCAAATGGCGTCGCGTCTCGTGACCTCCTATGATCTCACAATTTCCCCGCTAAATTCAGAAGAAAAGCGCTTCAACTCACTTCACAATGTCAGCGTACGTCACGTCACGTCACGTCTACGTCACGATTCCCCACTAAATTTAGCGAGAAAACGCTTCGCGTGACGCCAGGCTGTCCCGCGACGCCATGTAACGTCACAATTTCCTCATTAGATACTCCATGTAACGTCCCAATAGACCTTTCCAGAAACATGTGGCGCTCCCACCGTCTGCTGGACGGATTGTGGCGTTCCGATGTACGGCACGTGAAATTATCCGGGAGTCGAAGACGAAGTTGACGGTGTTTTGACATTTCGTAATACCAGAACGCAGAAAAGACGGAAGGAAAGCAAAACAGGGTATGCGATCACCTCCTTTTGTGTCCGCCATATTTTTTTAGCGTTTTGATATATATATATATATATATATATATATATATCTTATAAATCGTTCGAGTCATCATGGGCGTACATCGGAACAGCCACACAATTATTCTCCTCTCCGGGGTGTCTCCTGGGATTTTCCGGAAAGGTATATTTCCCCGCTAAAGGCAAGAAAGTTTCCCTCAACATGTAACGGGAAAACGGGCCGCGTTAGAGTAATGTGATTCACAGTAGATAATGGACACTTTTAGTTGGGCGTACGCAGGAAGCTTGCGTACGCAACCTTCGGTGCGTTGCGTACGCAGCAAGTGGCGCGTCTACGACACTTTTAGTTCGACGCGTTTGACGTAAGTTAGCGTTGTCCAACTGGATATATAAAACAGACCCGCAGATGCTTTATAGTGTATTTTAGCGCCATCTAGCGCTAGAGGAGAGAACTGTTTTTTCAATCCTTCAAGTATTGACCGAAAGTAGCCAAGCCAAGCCGTAGGCTTAGCCGGTTCCTTCGTTCTGTTGTACGGTGATTTATCGCAATGCCTCCAAGAAGTATCTCGTCAAACCCCCAAGTTGCCTCCATGCTGACGTGGGCGGAGGTCGACGATCTTGTGACGCTAAACGTCCGACCGCAGTTACGCAGCTATTTCACGCTGGACGAGTTGGAATACAAGATGAGGTGCAGCAGGGAGTCCGAACTCCTCAGGTACCGCTCTCGGCACGGTTAGCTGGACATCGGCAACGTGGAAGCCACGCTTTTCAAGCAGCAGTTTAGATTCGGAAAGCTGGATTTTCATGAGCTCTCCAGTGCTCTCCTGATTCCGCAGACTATCACAACCGCGCAAAGTGTAAGGATAACTGGGAAGGAAGCACTGTGTTTGACGCTGCGTACGCTTGCCAACCCGAACCGTTGGTGCGACCTCGAGCAGATTTTTGGACGGCATTCGTCCGTAATGTCGAGTGCTGTCAGCAAGCTAATAAGGCATTTCATAACCACCTTCGGGCACCTCATCGACGACTGCAATATGCACAAGGAGCGGCGCCGTTTCCACAGCCGTTTCCCGTGGCAGCGGCCATCTTGAAATGCGCTCTCGTTCGGCCGAGATCTCGCGAGACCGTCCCGCAGTGGCCCGCGGGACCCACACGCAACGTCTGACTGCGTGCGTACGCACGCCGGCAGCACAACGTTACGTTACGTTCTGCGTGGCGCACTCGCGGCCCGCAACGTTCCTGCGCACGCAAGCTCGTTGCGTACGCCCAACTAAAAGTGTCTAGTTTCAGTAGAGCGTACAGGAGGAGACGCGACCGCCGTGCGTTTACGTTATTCCGGGGTACTCCGCGCTGCACAAGCGCGTAGTCGCCCTGCGCCAATCCAAGACCGCAGTTTGGGCTCCGCGCACGCGTAATATGGTACACGCAACGCCAACGCAAACGCACAGTGCTTGCGTTCGCTCGCATACGCAATAATAACAACTCACTAATGTCACGTCACATAGTGGCTTACCGCAAAAGTGAGCGGAAAGCGTTTCCCGCCGATTTTAGCGCGCCACACCTCACACCGTCCGCACGCCACATCATTCGCTGCGAAACCTTGCCGATAACGGCTGTTGCAGTAAAAAGGTTATGGCTTTTATTTTTACGGCGCTATAGCAGTTCCTCGAATCGCTAAAAAAGCCGCACCCTGCTTCCCGGTAGGAAAAAAAAAAAAAAGACACATGTGATCAATAATAAGTTATTTAGGGGGAGCCCGGCAAAAGAGCCTAAAAATAGGGACTATCAGTGGACCGTAAACTAAAGCTTCGCTTTGCTATGGGAGCTGCTGCCGTCACATTGAAGCCTGCATTGAGCACGCGCCCGCTGGGCTCGCATTACGCAGAATACGATCCACCAGGGATCTGCTAAAACTGTCTAATGAAAGGATTAGAAGAGTGAATTTGGACAGCACCGACCAATAGCGCTCGGGTGACGGGCCTTCCCGTCGCGGAGAGACAAGTGGAGGCCGTCCGTTACGGCCGAAAGTCGATAGTACCGGGCCCTTTCCTTCTCTCCCTCATATATTTCCCCCCCCCCCCGCCCATCTACCTTTGATGGTGTCCCCTCTCTATATATAGAAACGGGGCACGCATGCACGCAATTATTGCTAAGAGTATGAAAGCGCAACACAAAGGGGGGACGAGGGCGCACATGTACGGGCTTCCAGTTCAGCGCATTTATTTCATTTCATTCTTAGTATCCACCCCAACATGCACGTCGGAACCTACACTTTTTTTTCTGGGTAAGTTTAAGTGAAAAGAAGTCGATAATAAGATGCTTGGAAGTTGGGAGCCAGCAAAGACTGTGTTTCGCAAACTGCCAGTGGCTATAAACCTTACATCGAAAAAAGCTCCGCGGACATTATTATGAAGGTGCATATAGTCCAGATCTCGTAGTGTATTTACTTTCTTTTTTAGTCGAAACCCGCATTAGCTTTTCTTGAAAAGGGCTCGTTCATACGGATGTGTTTACTCTACTCGCAACCGAGATTTTTGTGATCTCTTGCAACGTGAGAGGACACTGCAGCACGCTGGCGCCATCTATGAGATGACCCTTGAACTGCCTTTTACTGGAGTGAAGACTTTGCGGTATTTGCGATGTCGAATACACGTCTATCTACGAAATATGGTCGTTTATGACATCTGTGAAAGATTTCCGAGCCAAGAAAGATTGACGAGCGAAAAAAAAAGAAGGAAATATACGAAAACGCCAAGCGTTAGCCATGGCTACTCAATAGATGGCGTCACTGTGTTCTCTCGTCGTAAGAGACCTTAAAAAGTCTTAAGGCTCTCAATCGTAAGCAGTCAGTCACAAAAGTCTGAGCCAGCCATTAAGCAGACGCTCTGAACGAACAAAGTTAACCACCACCCCCCTTCCCCCTTAAACCACCTTCCTTTAAACGCGGTGTGCGCTCTCGTGTTTAACTCCATGGGTGTTCACTCTTCGACCTCCTCAACCGAACTCGCGGGCGTATATAGTAGGCGCACCTGAAGGCCCAGTTGTAGTGCGACAGACACGGGGAGTCGTCCCCGCACTCGCTGCAACCGGGCTGGCACGGCTTGCAGACGTACAGCATGTCGTAGGTTGGCCTGCGTGTACCGGAGCAAGTGGCGCGAGCGATTACCGAATACGCTGCGTCATTTAAAAAGGTTATGCACGCTCACATCCACCGTCACCACACGCACGGTGCGTACTTTATTACTACGCACTCTTCGAAAAACTTCGCTGACGAGTCGAGTGCGGTACATCTTGATATTGCCCGCCAGCTGATGAGATTCCGGCATTATACGATAAAAAACGCCCAAGAGCAAATCACAAAGCAGAAAACTTCAAGATAATAAGCGACTCCCTGCGATTCTTAAGAGGTCAGCGACGGCAGTAGGATTAATTGTCAGCGTAAATTATACTCTTTATGGGGCGAACAAGCAAGCGCTGGAAGAAGACGATTGAAATGGAACTTTGTATATATATATATATATATATATATATATATATATATATATATTTGTGGACAAACAGCACCACGGAAAAACGCTCACGGTCACCAGCGAACTGCGTTTAGTATGTCAGCGACCAGTGTAGATTGTGTGATCTGTTATTGGGGACTAGGCCCTCCGAATGACCGCCAGGATAGATAAAGTTGCACCGTGTTTCGTAGAGGAGACCATTACAATTGTTGTTCTCGCCGCAAAGACCTGAAACCGCGTCGTTGTTATTATCACGTCCCAGTAAAAAAACTATGTAACGAATGCTGCTCGTCAACATCTTCGTTGAGTCACAAGAATACGTTTATCTATACTAGCAGTGCACCATGTTTTCATGTTGTTGTTGTCATCGTTTTTCTTTTTCAAATAATATTGTGAATTTGTTCGCCTAGTGCGACTATAGGTTATTACTGAGGCGCATTAGTGATTTCACCGGTATTGACCCACAGAGGGCACCACCCTAACATCGCGCCGCCATTAAATATATATTGGTTGGTAAATATAAAACCAAAGAAACGCTCTTCGCGCTTCTTGCCCCTTTTGACACTAAAGGTGGCAGCCCTTGCACACTAATCACAACCACGAAGAACTAAACCACACCAAAACTAGTCAACAGTTATCGGAGGAATAATACTGAGGGAAACGTTCAGTAACTGATTTGGCTTTCTCGCCCATCCGAGATTAAGTCAAAACAACCAATTCATATCCCAACATAAACGAAAGGCAGACTGGAGGCAGGTACAAGGTAAGCCCCCACAGCGTGGGTTCTCCATGTTTTATCATTTATTTATTTAGTTACATAAAAAATAACTTAAAAAACAGAAAAAGAGCACATTCAAATAAATCACTACTTTACTGTGCCTCTGTCCGGAGAAAGAGGTGTTACATAACGATAGGTTTTGGTGGCAATTAAGGCAAAGTATATAAGGGGCCATGCGACCTTAAGTGCCAATCACTTTGTTGCCAATCACTCTAGTACCAATCCAAGCTGCACGCGCGCACTCTTCAGTTCTGTTCGATTGCGTTCTTCCCGTTTCAATGTGACAACACATCTCTGGCGAGACGGCCGTCGAACGACCGTGAGTGAAACTCACCTCCCGAAGAGCCGCTTCTCCTTCCAGGCGGCCTCCACAAGGGAGCCGTTGAACACGGGGTTCCCCGTGGGAGAGTAGAAGCCCCGCCGGCACTGGCACACGTACGAGCCCCGGGTCCAGCCCTGACCCGGAGAGAAGATGCACTGCGGGAGAAACATACGCGTCGCTGACTCGGACGCGTTTCGTTCGAGTGAGAATCGTGATTAGTTTATGAGTGCCACGTTAGGTGGCGTTAGGCAACACCTGTCTAATCTTTGAGGTCGCTTTGCCCCTAACGTCGTTTGGAAACGCTGTCTTGTTTAAGCTGCGCATCGTCTGCACGAGGTAAAACTAAGCTAGAATAGATCCGCTCCTCCTCAACTGGAAAGCGGCATGGCAAATCCTCTATCCCCCCCAAAGTCGAAAAAAAAAAATATATATACATATACTTATTAAAAGCCAGTTCGTTCACTATGTCCGCAGCCAAATCCGATGCTTTAATGGCGGCATTAAACAGCTTCTGTTCAACAGGAAAAATGGACGTCTTTGAGAACAAAAAGCCGAAAGCGGGGAATCGAATCAAACAAGTTAATGCTTGTACTTCGATTCCCGAAGTTGAGTATAATTTATTTGGGCCATCTTGTCCTGTTAGCACCGCCATAAGCGTTATAGTATTGGAGCTTTTGAGACTTTTGCTAGATAACTACGACTTTTGGAAACGGGTAAATTAAGCTCTAATCTATTGTTTTTCAAGACCCTTCTCAGCTTTTATCTTAAAGAGGCCTCGGCTCTTAAAGGGATACTGAACCGAAATTTCGAGCTCACTAAGCAAGGCCGGGCGGATAGGCGGGAAGCTGCAAAACCAAAAAAATATCACTCATACGGCGATATATCTAACGGATCGCCGTATTTTTCCGGAAAGAAGTGCGCGATTGAACCCGGCCGACGAGGCCGACGAGACAAGGCACGTCACGATTCCCATTCTCTCTCCTCCTCGCTACGTCCCGTCGAGCTGGTGAACCGAAGCGAGGAGGAGAGAAGCGAGGCCGCTTCTCCTCATTCTCAAACTCTCCCGGAGGACAGTTACGTCAAAGAACTCGCTTGATCGCGCCGTTCTTTTCCAAAAGTACGGCCATCCGTTTGAGATATCGATGTACGAGTGATGTTTTGGAGTTCGTAGCGTCCGGTTCAACACTTCTGCAGCCTTACCTTGCGAAATCCAAATTTCGATTCAGTATCTTTTTAAAGGGGCGGTGAAACGTTTTTTGTACTTTGCGCAAGTGCCGCTTTGAACGGATTCCTTACGTCAATGACCTGTGAAACACCTGTTCGTTTTTCACCAAATGCAATCGAAGTCGCAGAACATATTAAAGAAAAACGAGCAGCGTTCATCCAATACTTGTTGATCCCCTCAACTCGCAGCCAGAACAAGCGGCCACGTGACCTGGAGTCGATTATATGCCGGCAATGTCGATCATAGCCACGCGCTGGGGTTGGCAAGGCACAGGACACGCGCTGAGTTACAGACATTGTTATGGTGCGGCTATTGTCGTCATCGCACCGACTGGGCACGGGCCACTCCCTGAATGCTTCCCAAGCTATAGATTATCCTGAGCCCAGATAGATTGCCCACGTAATGCTCGGGTCCAATCTAATAGCCGCATCCAAATATCGTCACGGGAGGATACTGCTGTCCCCCAGTTACGTCACCAAGTTTCGAGAAGGAGAGATTGAATGAAAACATTCGCTTTAGTCCTTGAAATTACACCGCGACAAAGGAGTTTCTTGGCCAGTGGCGTTCCGTGCGAGTATCCTTGAGTCCTACTATTGCCATTAAGCTCGTGTAAAGTGAAAAACATACCAATAGACCTATTGCTAAATTACCCAAGCATCTAGGATAATGCAGGGATTGGTGTTCCACGCGCCGCACGTGCTGGCTTCAGCAGTAGTAACTTTTCTAAAGAAAATGTCTAAAACAAGTTGCATCTTGCACGCGCGTTTGTGAACGCTTTATTTTGGTTATTTCCTTCGACTCTTTTATACGGGGAAGGCCTGCACGTGTGGCGCGTGGAACACCAGTCCATGCATTCTCCTTGACGCTTGGGTAATATAGCAATAGGGAGTGTTCACCACCGTTAGTGTTCACTCGCGGCCATAGCTGTGTGCGGGAGTGCTGAGCGCGTGCTGATGGCGAGCTTCCGCAGTTCTTTTTGCAACGTGCGCTCCGCATCATCAAGGGTGCCGGTCTTAACAGCCTATTTATGTGAGCTCGTTTTGAGCATGCGCTCTAAACAGCACCCACAAATATGGCGTCCAGTGAATACTCCTTATAGGTCTATTGAATGTCATTGCACCGCCCGATTCGTCGTCTCAGAAAGTCAGTCGTACTTGCGACGTCTTGTTGTGACAGCGGTGGGTTCCCTGAAAGGCGAGTATTCTGGGTGCAGGCACGACCGTGGCTTCCGGATCGCACTGGTCGATGTCCAGGCTGCTCGCATCCACGTCCACGCTGAGCAGCGCCGACGGGGCACCCCTGCGAGTATCGAGATCATCAAAGGAGAACCGCCCACACAATCATAGCCGAGCTCGCCAAGCGCCGCAACATCTAGAAATCGCGACTACGCGTGTTTTAAGCGTCAAAACTCGGAGTCGTCAAGAAAGAGTGCTAAAAACAAAAAGGGCTGGAAAAAGAAAGAAGATTCTAGCATAGGACACTTTTTCAAGCTTCCTTAAAATCACACGGTCACGCTGCTTGGAGTGTTTGTTCCTTTGGTGACGGTACGGTCCCTGTCCTTAAGAGTGTCTTAGGGAACCGTTTTTGCCCATCCGTTACGGTGCGATGGGCAATCCGGTAGGCACTGCGCATGTGCTGCCGTATAAGACTCGCGCATGCACAGCTCGTACCGAAGGGTCCATTGTACCGTATCTGATAGACAAAAACGGTTCCCTAAAACTCTCCATTATGGTCGTACAAAACTGTCTCCAGACATGTTGGTAACATGCATATGTTCGAAGGAAACATGCTTCGTGACGCGACGAGCAATAAGTCCTTCATTCCTGTATCTTTGCTGTGATGCTGTTCAAAACTACACCGTAAAAATGATAGCGCGAAATTTACACGCACGTTCGCATCTCACAGACAAATCACACAAAAAACACTAAAATTTTGTACAGGCCTTAAAGTGCGGATACCAATGTCATATCTGCAAAGATGGCAAATGTCAAGTTCGGCACTATACTGCAGGCCTTGGAGCTGCAATGCACACAGCGTAGAAGTGATTCATTGAGCGAGAGCACGCCGCTACTATAGGCTACTACTAAAACCTAATTCGAGGCATCTCGTAGACGAGAGAAGCGCGCACGTACCCGGCCGGTGCACGAGCAGGAACCGTGTACGAGGCGATCCAGCGGCGCAGCTCGCACGAGTAGTAGGTGCCCGACCAGCGCCCCTCGGAGGCGTCCTCGGCCAGCCAGGGGACCTCTGGCAGCGCAAAGTTGCGCCGTTCGGACACCGGGCCCCGGCGGCTGACCGAGGCCAGGTAGCGGACCCAGGGACGCGACGCCGTGCCGTTGGCGCCCGGCAGCAGCAGGCGGCAGGCCCAGAACCTCTCGTCCGACGCCAGGGTCTCGTTGAGGAAGGATTGGACCAGGCCTGTCGGACCGGCCTCTGGTCAGACATCGCGGCACCGCCGGCGCTTGACATAAACCGCTTCAATAGGATTCGACGAAATTGCTTCATGCGGCACTGGATTAGAAGTTGCCTACGACGTTCTGCGCGGAACACTGAAGTCTGACACACGTCATGAAATGATTTTTACGACTTTCGCTATGTATTTCTTATAATAAGTTCGCCGTGTAAGATTTAAAAATAAATGAATATTTTTTTTTTTTTTAGTTCAACTAATGACGAGAACCAAAGGTTGAAATAAGAGGTCCCGTGTTCTGCCATAGAATTGTGCAGGTGACTTTCATCACAGCTACACGTTCGAATTGGCATTGCTGGAACCGCGCGTTGTGTTCCGGACAGTTTCCCTCATTGCGCCGATTGGTTACGAACTCCAAGTTAAATAACAGTTGGCACAATGATTATATCCAGAAGGCACTATAGGAATAACACGGAGCTCGTCTCAAATTCGGAATTTGCTTACGGTTGCAGCGAACTGTTGTCCGAGTTACTCTTACAGCACGGGAGAGGTGAGGCGAAACAATAACGCCTCATGGCTGTGAACTCTTTTTAGCTTCGCACTAAACTCGCCACGAATCGACAAGTTTGCCGAAGCAGAGAACAGAGAAGCGATCATAAACCGCAAACAACGTTACGGCCGCCCACGATCGCTTTGTGCTGTCAACTTTGGCCACATCAGACGGTCGGTGACAATAGAGAGTTTTCGGGAACCGATTTTGCACGTCTTATACGATACAATTGGCCCTCCGGTACAAACGGCGCATGCGCAGTCTGCATCGGAAGGCCCATCGTGCCGTGTCGGAAGTGCGAAAACGGTTCCCTAAAACTCTCTCATATATACGAAGCCCGGAACGCGTCCCCGACCGGTATGTTTAGCGTCCACCCATGCATCGAAACTGGTCCCGACGTGGAGACAAATGACGTCACAAACGCTAGAGTGCCACGCTGTCGGACGTCGCGATCCTGGTGGCTGGCCATGGAAGTTCCGTCAAAAAAAGCGGGAGCAGACGCGAGTGTCACTGTTGTCGTGGCGTCCCAACACCTAGCTGCTGAAGCGCCCGTGGGCTGTCAAGCTGGATAAAGACCTGCAGCGGAACAGGCGTCTGCCACGTCCACCATTGCTCGTGTAACACCGCCAGGATCGCGGCCGGCGACAGCGTGACACGTCTATGACGTCATCAAACAAAAATCAAGGAACCACTTTTGTTTTCGCGATAAACACGTAACATTTTAAGAAACACTAGGCGTGGTGAGTGCCGATCATCTCATTACCGTTCCGCAGCCAATGAGATTGGAGCATTAGCCGATAAAAAACGTCAAAGAACAGATTGGAAGGCAACGTTTAAGCGTGAACATAACAGACCACGCCCTCCGTTTCTTGAGCTGTCAGTATCTTCGTTCGATGTACCCGCACCTTCTACACCGGTGTAAAAAAAAAGGTGTGGGACAGTACTTCCGGTACGCGTGTGGCGATAAGACCGGAACTACACTGCCCTACAGTTTTCTGCACCGGTGCAGGAGGTGCGGGTAAACCGAACGAAGCTAAGGATTGTGGCCACTGATAACTTCAGCAGCGCGAGGTGTGGCTTAATATGTTCACGTTTAAATGTTGCCTAGTCATTCGTTTTTCGGAGTTGAAAACGGCTAATGGCGCAACCTCATTGGCTACGGAGGGAAAATATGTGCGGCACGTCGCCAAGTCCGACGTTCCTTAGGTATAGTCACTGAGAACGAGCTTTAAGTTTCTCGGCGCCCATATTGAAAACAAAAGGAAAGCACTGACAGATGTTACTTTGTTTCTAGACGTCAAACAAAACAAAAAAATAAAACAAAAAATACGCGTGGTAAGGAGGCGTTAAATGATGCGATTCCATTCGGGAAATTCGAAGTACGATTACGATCTAAAGTACGCTTCCTAAAATGCAAACTTCACGTTACTCCGATGCCCCATTGAGAAAAAGTAAAAATGAAACACGTTAACGCCACCAGCCCGACTCGAGTGTGAGACTCACGTTCTCCGCTGTGCAGGGCCACCTGGAGCAGCATCCTGGCAGCCAGGTCCGCCTTGTGCCGCAGGGGCTCCGTGTGCGACTCCGGGAGAGGCACGTCCACGGGCTTGGGCTCCGACGACGACGATTCGCACGACACGGATTCGACGCGCTCCAGGCGCTCCTCCGCGCTGCCCCAGTCCCGACCATCCTCGACCAAGCGACGCTGCTGCCGAGAAAAGAAAGAAAGAAAAGGGCCCGGCAACGTTAGGCGGGGAATTACCAGCCGGCAACGTCCGATATCAAAATGATTTAAAGCGGCTGGACCGCTGTAATGTCTGGACTCTGAAACGTGGGTTATTCGGCATCTCCGCAAGGAATCATAAAACGCGTGCTTCATTTCGTCGCGCAAAGTGTCGGAGACACGGTGCTCCGTGTTGTTTCGTTAAGCCACGGTCCCGCCGCCAATACATCGTATAAAAGACAGTCTGTTGACACCTTCTGAGGCGCGTTTCTTCCTTGCATCAAGGTCACATTGGTCACACAAAATCTCTCTGCGGACACGTTGGAAGCACACATATGTGCGAAGCATTCGAAGATGCATCAGACGTGTCCGCATATAATTCCCTCATCGGTATTTGCATCAAACGCCGCGTCTTCTCTATACGCATGCATACACGAGCAGCGTGGCTTTCTAGGGCGGGCCCGCGGAGGAGGAGCGGTGCGGCGTTTACCTGGTAGCGCAGGACTCTGGCGCGGTGCTTGCAGTGCAGGCAGCAGGAGGCGTGCAGGCCCCACCAGGCCCCGACCAGGGCCAGCCACAACAGGGCCCGGCTCATGAGCGCATTCCGGGCCCCGGCGCTGGGGGACGCCTCAGCGGGGCCGCACTACCCGAGCGCGGACCCTGCGCAGGAAAGAGGGAGCAGGTGCAAGTTGTTATATACTTTCCCCACCGTTCCGTACCCAAGTCCGACCGGAACCGACGCTATGCGAAGCGCAAGCTCGTCTGCTACTTTTGCAGGGGCTGTGATGACGTCAGAACGCCGATCTCTGATTGGCTCTTATTGAAAGATAGTGAGTAGACCTCGATGGCAAGCTGTGTTGAGGTCTACCCGCTATTCTTTCATCTGAGCCAATCAGAGCTCGGCGACATTTTGACGTCACCACAAGCAGACGAACTTGCGTTCCGTGCGGTGTAGCCAATCGAGTATATGGTGCCAAGAGTGCTTTGGCGCGACTAGACTTTTCACGCCTATAGTGAATGCGGCGTGCTCGTCCTGCGCTCTATTCCGCGCATGATCGGCTTAGCCGTTGATGTATAGCAAACGCACAAAGACGACGAGAGCCGTGACGATGCGCTTTTAACGCTACTTGATTGACTCCGTCGGATCGTGAGCGGAGAGCAAGTTCATCTGCTTCTTACGCAGGAGTTGCGGTAACGTCATCGCAACTCCCGCCGAGCTCCTATTGGCTTTGATTGAAAGGATAGCGGCTAATCCTCGATGCCAGATTCCTCAAGATCTACCCTCATTTTTTTTTTTCAATCAGCCAATAAGGATTCGGCGTTCTGACACCATCGCAACCCTTGTGCAAGAAGCAGACGAACTTGCCCTGCACATAGGCATCGCCTGCGGCTTACTCAGTATGAAACCAGTATGTAGTCACTGACAACTCGAGATACGGAGGGTGTGGCGAGCCCCCCGAACCTTCCGTTAACGCTTCGCAGCCAATGGGATTGCTGCGTTAAGCCGGGAATACATTTGCGAAAAAACGAACCGAAAATCGGACGGAAATCGGAGGCTGCGAAAATCATGGCTAGCGATTTTCAAGAGACGAGCCACATGAGGTGTAATGCGCGGCGCGGAAATCGCAATGCACAGCGGTTTTCGTGCTCCGAACTCACGAGGCTTTTCCGATAGTCCGGCCGAATTGGCGTCCCATATTTCGCGCCTCTTAAAGACTTCAGCTATTAAAAGGTCATAGAATGCCACGCGAGCCTTTGTACCACCACCCTTCAAGACAGAGACAAAGACAGGAGGCGTGCTCTGTCTCTACCTCGAGCACGCCTCCTGTCTGACAGAGACAGGAGGCGTGCTGCGTTCTCATCTAGACCTCCTCCGAAGGTTGAGATGAGAACGCAGCAATGGCATACGATGTTGCCTGTGCTGCTTCCGAAGCTGCGTGAGCCGCCATCTTGCGAGCCGATCGTATCTTGTCATTCCGTTCCGTTCCGGGCTTTCGTTCTCCGAGCCGACCGAGCTCCTACGCCCGGGGCGCCGTGCGATGAGTTTTGTAGACCGTGTTTCCCCCTCCGGGGCTAACCAACAAAGAAACCACCACTGTGCCAGCGTGCCGATGGCCTTGGCTGTAGAGTTCAGGGTAGCGGAGAGGGAAACACGGTCTACTAAAACTCCCTATTGGGAGTTTTCCCAATTTTCGGAAAAGGAGAGGTGTAAGGGAGGAGCTTAGCTGCCGTGCAATTTTCGTGTGCGGTTTTCGCACGAAATTCGGCTTTTCTTTTTTTTTTTTTTCGCAAATGTGTTTTTGGCTTTAGCCGTTACGAACGACCAATAACCAACCACGAAGCGGGAACATGATAATAAGCCCCGCACCGCGTTTCTCCAGCTCTCAGTAGTGACCATATATTTCCATCGCTTATCACCCACGCGAAAAGTGCCGAGTTACCGGACCGTTCATGCGTGCGCGGCGTCCGAGGCCTTTCGCAGAAGAAATCTACTGCGCACGCTCAAGACGGGTTGCACAGAGCCCAGTAAGCGAAGATGGCAGCACGCAGAAGCCGGTTATTGGAACAGTCCATATAGTGACGCGAGATACGAGGGGCAGTTGTATATGGTAGATCGTTCCGACACCTCCGATAGCGATACTCAATGACGAAACAATGCATGCGAAAAGGTGTCGCCGCCGGAGTATCGGGTATACTTTAGACCACTGCCATTACCGGAGTTGCCGGAACGATCTACTAAAAACTATACCTAACGACCAAATCGTGTTTCTTTACGGAAGAAGCGTTGTTTTTCAATGTATACACAGTCACCCAAAGATAGATGATTCGTTGTGTGCCGATCCCCGCCTTCTTTTATAGCACAGGAACTATTCGCGGTTCACCTTCTGCGTTAGATGACGCCACTGTAAAGGGCTGTTTATACTCCGTCGTAACGTCATCGAGCGCACGCGCTCGTTCGCGCTCGTTCGCGCTCGCTGACGCTGTCTGCGAACGGGGTGTCTATACTCCAACGTCAAGTTGAACGCGGCGCCGCGCTGAGCGCTCGACGCGCGACAGCGAGGTTACGACTAGGGGTGTCGCGAACTTTTGTCGAACCAGATTTTTAGGTCGAACTTTCGGGGTTCGACTGGGTCGAACCGGTTCGACGAACCTTCGAACTTTTCAACAGATTCGACCGGTTCGACTTTGTGGACAGTGTGGCCAGACCTTGATACAAGCATGTCTAGGTTTGGAGAATGTTTTTTTTAAGAAAAGGGTTATTTTATTTTATAAACAGTTGCAATTAAAAGAAACTAATTCTAATCACTGAAGAGGTTAATAACTTAATTTTTTTGTACTGTATTAAGTGAAATAACCAATCGGCGCTGCCCTTAATTTATCCCTTAGCCATTACCATCCAATCCGAAGCCAACTGGCCTGCCTGTCGCGCATGCGCACACGAGTCGAACCTCAATACAAGGTTCGTCGAATTTTCCACTAAAAGTTCGAAAAAGTCGAACCTGGTCGAACTCGAACCTCGGCCGGTTCGCGACACCCCTACTTACGACGGACTTGTACATGATCTACGCTCAACGTTGGGCGACGACGGTGCAGACGAAGGCTATCCCAGAAGCCCTCGCGCGAATGCCTCATTCGGGAATTCGGTTGGCAGGGTCGTCGGGGCCAGTCGGAGTGTGGTGCGAGGTGCTCATTTCTGGGATCTGAACCTGTAGTTCTTGCCATGTGTCGTGTGCTGCTGTCGTGTTCCCGTGTTGATGTTCGTATTTAACGTTCGTGCGCTTGACTGGGAGAGTGTGTGCGTGGACGTGGCCTGCTCCGAGGATGCGCTACCCTCGATCCTCGTTCAGGCCTATCAACCTAACGAGCCGGTAGTGGTGGGCCGTGGTGTTGGGGTGCCGGGAAAAGTTGGAGGCTCGATGACGCGCCAGAGGTAGGTTTAAGTAGAATTAAGGATGACCTAATATGTGTACTCTTTATAATCATGTGCTAGTCGCACTCACCGGCAGTTGCTCCCGATCGATAAAGCGTCGTCGAATGTACGGGAACGGCGGACACAGTGAAACCTCGGAGCTATCTAGCCGGCCAGAAATTTTCGATAGGGCAGTCTCAGCTTGTAAACGGTCTCAGCTTTAATAATTGTTTGTATAGGCTTTGTAAAGTGCGTTACAGTTTCGAACGCGTACATTGCGTAATTTAGGCATCGTCCGCCATTTTCGGTGTCCGTTTCTTAAGTCAGCGTGAAAATCTACTATGATCATAACACACGGGCTATCTGTCAGAAAGAGGTCTCTGGAAGATCGAGTGCGCCGGTTTCATCGAAGCATTCCGGCGAACCTGCGGAGCAGCTAGGTTCGACAAACGCGATATCGGGCTTTTCGTTTTTTGTTTTCTTGTTTTTTTTGTTTTTTGTTGACATTTGTGTGACATTTAGGAGAAAATAAATCCTGGTTTGCACTCATTTTCGCCATCATTTGCTTGTTTTTGAACTGCTACCCGCTACCCCGAATGGGCGTTTTGAAGTGAGACATGACAACTTGAACACGAACCCCACTGACCGATTGCCTCTAGGCTAAGTGGCGCAAGCTACCGCCCTTAGACAACCCGTAGAAACAATGCTGTTGTCACGAAACACGCACGCGCAAAGTGGGGCAGTTCGTCGGGGGCGCTGGACTAGCGTTGGTTTTCGCTGGAGTGTAAACACCATCGTTCGGACGTTTCTCGGCAGTGGCCGACGAACGTCGGTCTGCGCCGGCGCGCGTTCCGTTCGTCGACGTTGGAGTATACACAGCCCTTAAATCTGAAGCCAGAAAAGATATCGTCAAGTTCTACGTCTTGCCACATACCAACTCAAATCTGCGGTTTCCGTGTCCCTCGGATCCACCGGAGAATAAAGCTATGCGGAACGCAAGTTCGTCTGCTTCTTTGCAGGGAGTTCGGTGGCGTCAGAATGCCGGGCTCTGATTGGTTGTGAATGAAGAATGGTAGGCAGACCTCAAGGCAGCTTGCTTTGAGGTCTGCCCACTATCCCTCAATCAGAGCCAATCAGAGATGGGCTTCTTTCTGGCGTCGCCGCAACTCCTGCGGGAGAAGGAGACGACTTGCTCTCCGCGTATAGGAGTTCACAAATGGAGACAGCAAGACAATATGACGGTGTGATGCACCGTTTTTTTTTTTTTATCGTGAGGTGTGACAGTGCGATGTGTCGTGTCTATTTAACTGTAGACCACAACCTATACGTACATTACAATGACTACAGGAGGCACCGTCGCTCAATCAAAGCGCCCCTTTGATCAATCTTTGCTAGCGAGAAAACCAGGCGATATATCCCAAGATCGCATTTCTTCTGGCCAGTTCGGTATAATTCATCAAATGTAAGTCGTGATTCCCGTCATCATAACTTCGAACCGGAAGGAAAGAAACGCATTTTTCATGTTCCACGCAAGCCAAATAGTATTTTTTTTTTTTTTTTTGCTTAGTAAGAGCGCGACCCAGGGTTTATTACGTATTCGTAGCGCCTTTTCTTTTGCCTAGTAAGACTTCCTCTCATTGGGAGATTAATGGAAGTTTTCTGCTTTGGTCCAGGCGTAGTTCGCA